TAGGAAAAGCCAAAGAGTTTTTGAAGAGTGAATGAACTGCTAATTTTATATGTAAATCTACTGGTACTTGCTCTTGTCATTTTGGAGAGCAGAAGCAAGAACATTCCTCTATGCCATCTTCCCCCACGGCAAACAACAATAATTGCAGTGGTCTGCAGATGTCTCTTTTGCATGTGTTTTCCATGTTGCATATGTTTGCCAGTGAAAAGAGAAATGAAAGAATAGAAAGGTACAGATCACACAATTATTTACCAGGTGCACTGATACTAAACATGCTTTTCTTTTGTCTTTATTCTCAAAACTTCCTAAATAGCTTAGAGCAATGGAAAGTCTCAGCCTTCAAAGAATGGTTTACAGTAAGGCTAGATAGTGAATATTTTAGGCTTGAAAAATCACGTAAGGTCTCTGTCCCATATTCTTTCTTTTCTTGTTTTTCCCACAAGTCTTAAAAAATATAAAAACAATTTTTAGAATCAAGACCATACAAAAACAGGTCATGAACTTCTGGTTGAGAGCTATAGAAATACAGTGCCCAATCTTCTTCTTTTCTTTTCTTTTCTTTTTTTTTTTGAGTGGAGTCTCACTCAGTCTCCCAGACTGGAGTGCAGTGGCTGCTTCCCGGCCACCGCAGCCTCGACCTGCTGGGCTCCGGCGATCCTTCCACTTCAGCCTTCCGAGTAGCTGGAATTACAGGCATGCGCTACCGCGCCCGGCTGATTTTTTTTTTTTTTTATTGTAGAGATGAGGTCTCTCCAAGTTGGCCAGGCGGGTCTCGAACCTGCGGGTTCATGCAATTCACTCACCTCGGCCTCCCAAAGCGCAGGATTACAGGCTGAGCCACCGAGCCCAGCCTTATTTTCATGTGTAAAGGATTTTAGCCAATGGTTTCTCTGTTCTCTTAGGATATAGTAAAAATTCTTTAACATGGGCTATAGGACCTTATGTGCTCTGACTCCTGCTGACTCCTGCTGACCCTTCTAACCTCAACTACAACTCTCCCTGTACAATATGGTACTATCTTCTTTCAAGTCTTAAAATGCTTCATGCTTTTTGCTTTAAGACCTTTTTATATGGGCCAGGCTTGGTGGCTCAGCCTGTAATCCCAGCACTTTGGGAGGTTGAGGCAAGTGGATTGCCTGAGCCCGCGGGTTCTAGACCCACCTGGGCAACTTGGCAAGACCTCATCTCTACAATAAACAAAAAATTAGCCGGATGTGGTAGTGCACGGCTGTAGTTCCAGCTACTTGGAAGGCTGAGGCCGAAGGATTGTCAGAGCCCAGCAGGTCAAGGCTGCAGTGGCCAGGAGCATGCCACTGCACTCCAGTCTGGGTGACAGAATGAGACTCCAATTGAAAAAAAAATTGTAATACTCACTGGGTGCAGTAGCTCACATCTGTAATCCCAGCACTTTGAGAGGCAGAGGCGAGAGGACTGCCTGAGCCAGGGGTTCGAGACCAGCCTAGACAACATGGTGGGACCTCATCTCTACAATAAATCAAAAAATTAGCTGGGCATGGTGGCTCACGCCTGTAGTTCCAACTTCTTAGAAGGCTGAGGTGGAAGGATCACCTGAGGCCACCCTTAAGAGGCTGTGGTGGTCGTGAGCATGCCACTGCGCTCCAGCTAAGCAGCAGAGTGAGACTCTGACTCCAAAAAAAATGTAATACTCAATATACACCAATATCAAAAGATGTATACAGGTCACGTTTGACTTCAGCAATTACAAGAGGTGCTCAGAGTGGTTACATCAGTGTCCAGATACTTGTGATTACAGCGAACAAAAAGCAATACAGAGATAACATCTCTTAAAATGTGTATACATTTTTTTGGCATCCCTGGTATATTTTTTTGAGTAGGGGTCTTACCCTGTCACTCAAGTTGAAGTGCAGCGGCATGATTACAGTTCACTGCACCACTTATCTCCTGGGCTCAGGTGATCCTTCTACCTCAGCCTCCCGAGTAGGTGGGACTACAGACATGTGCCACCATGCCCAGCTAATTTTTTTGTAGAGACAAGATCTCGCTATGTTGCTTAGGCTGGTCTCAAACTCCTGGGTTCAAGTAATTCTCCTGCCTCAGCCTTCCAAAGTGCTGGGATTACTGTAAGCCACTACGTCTGGCCAGCCCTACAAGTTTTAAACAATTCATAACTCTTAAACCACAGGATTATGTTGGGTTTCCTATTATGTGCATCTTGTACTTCTCATTCATGACACTTATCAGAAGTATACAGACTGGCCACTAGGTTCCTATGCATAAGATTATAACCTTCATTGATTGTTTTACATTTTCTTCTAGGTAAGGTTTTTAGTTAACAGGAACCGATTCAATGGTTCCAACTAAGAACAAGAAAGAAGTTCGGAAAAACATGAAGAAAAATTAAAATTTATACACAGAATGCATAGAGACTGCCTTTACTAGATGTAAATATTGGTTGTCTTTACTAGATGCAAATTTAGAGGAGGCACTTGGTAATTGCATTGATGAATGTCTGATCAACTAAACATTCAATAGAAAAGACAATTTTTTTTTTTGAGTTGGAGTCTCACTCTGTCACCCAGGCTAGAGTGCAGTGGTATACTCACGGCCACCCCAGCATTGACCTGCTGAACTCAAGCAATCCTTCCGCCTCAGCCTTCCAAGTAGCCAGAACTATAGGCATACACTAATTTTTGATTTACTGTAGAGATGAGGTCTTGCCAAGTTTCTTGGGCTGGTCTCGAACCTACAGGCTCAGGCAATCCATCACCTGGGCCTCCCAAAGTGCTGGGATTACAGGCTGAGCCACCGAGCCTGGCCAGAAAAGACCATTTTAATAGAGGTACCTACTACTGAGTACTTCTACGTGTAAAGTATTGTTTTGACATCATCTCTAATTTTGACTAATTTCAGGTAGAAATTATTACTCCCATTTTACATATGAAGAAACAGATGCTGGGAAAAGTAGAGTTATTTATCCAAGGTCATTCAGCTAGTAAAAAGTGCCACAAATCAAACACAGGTCTATCAGGCTTTAAAACCTGGAACAAAAAGGTTTGCTAAACAAAAAGGTGCTTTAGATACAAAAATCACCGACTCAAGTCTGGTAGTACTTTACATCTTAAAACCTTGAAAGACCAGTTAATGCCTAGTAACTATAACGGTTGCTGGATCTGGACACAGCATTATGTCATATGTTTAAATATTTTTGCTCTTCTAGTTCAAAAGAGATTATGCATCTTAGTCTATAAAACTCAATGCAAAGTTCAGCAAGATTCTATCCACTTTTAAGAGGTAATGTGGTAAGAATGTTTCCAGTATTTTCTATCAATTTAACCTTGTGGTAAGAATGTTTTGTGTTTTCTATCAGTTTAACTTACATAATAAGTACTTTTAGAAAAGCAAAACAATAAAATAAGTAGAGGCTATATAGTTATTTTGACTCCCTTAAGTCAGAAAACTTCAGGGCATAGCACGCTAAACTGCAATACAAATTAACTCCTCAAGATTGATATTTGCTCACTAGTGAAACTTGATTCTAATTACAGACTAACGTGTTTGTTTTCTCTTTTGTTCCTAGTCCAAAAACTTGTTTTTAAAACAGACTTTTAAGTGGTAGAAGTCAGATGGTAAATTCTGAATTTAGACACATTCAAGGAATGTTGTTTAATTTTCCAAAAATGACTAGCCTTAATAAATTTTTAGAGCCGAGCTCGGTGGCTCAGCCTGTAATCCTGTGCTTTGGGAGGCTGAGGTGAGTGGACTGCCTGAGCCCGCGGGTTCGAGACCCGCCTGGGCAACTTGGCAAGACCTCATCTCTACAATAAAATCAAAAATTAGCCGGGCGTGGTAGCACACACCTATAGTTCCAGCTACTTGGAAGGCTGAGGTGGAAGGACCGCCGGAGCCCAGCAGGCAAGATTGCGGTGGCCGGGAGTGGCCACTGTACTCCAGTCTGGGTGACAGAGTGAGACTCCAACTCAAAAAAATAAAAATAAAAATAAATAAAATAAAATTTTACCCTGGCTTTTAAGAAGCTACGTCTTAATATTTTTTCTATTCAGTGAGTATAGAGCTACTAGAGATTTTGATTTATGGCAGAAGTTAACCTAGAAGGGAAAAAAAGCTTCCATTTTCCTATATATATTTTCTTCCTTTTGTTTTTTAGAGACGAAGTCATGCCAAGTTGCCCAGGCTGGTCACAAACCCTTGGGCTCAGGTAATCCTCTTGCTTTGGCCTCCCAAAGTGCTGGGATTACAGGCATGAACATCATACCTGGCCCATTTTCCTATATTAATGTTTTCCCAGGTATTAGCTGTCAGAAAGTATTAGCTGTCAGAAAGTCTTAGGTCCAGTTCCCAATTCTACTACTTACTAACAATGTGACTTTGGGTAAATTCATTATTCATTCTAAGCCTCAGTTTTTTCATTTGTAATGAAGAAGATAATAATAGTACTTTCCTCATAGAATTGTTTTAAGCAACTGCTTTTAAAGCATTCAGCACATAGTATGGAACCAAGCAGGAACACAAACATTAGCTATTAGCACTGTTAATAACATTCAGGTGCTAAACCACATACTACATGAAAATTAACAGGAATTGCAAGGCAGAGAAACTAAATAGCCCTCTATTAAAACAGCAGAAGCTAAAAAAATTTAGCCAGACATGGTGGTGCACACCTGTAGCTCTAGCTACTCAGGAGTCTGGGGTGGGTCTGAGGTGGAAGGATTACTTGAGCCCAGGAGGTCAAGGCTGCAGTGAGCTATGATAGTCTCTGTACTCCAGCCTGGATGACAGAGCAAGACCCTGTCTCACACAAAAAAAAAAAAAAAAAAAAGGAAAGAAAGAAAAGAAAAGAAAACAGCAGAGGCTTATATTCAAATCAGTGTTATAAAGGAGATGCCCGGTTATCTATGTGTGCTGCTATTGGTTATGGAGTTTTTCCTTTTTTTCTGTCTTTAGTTTCAAAATTACTGATTGCAAAGATGTGAACTTATTACACTCTAGTCTCAAGCATTTCTCTAGCTCCTATCTTGCCCTATTCCTAGGCAGACTGGCAAGTACCACTGCGTAACAGGTGGCTTATGTTATTTTTAGGTATGTGCATCACAGGTTTAAATAAAACCTTGTTTTAAAGCAAACATCTACTCAATTCTTGGCAGACCCCTATCTACTACAAACACCTGAATTTAAAAAGACCAGTTCATCTGACCCATTCATTCCTTCTTGCTGACCAATGCTGGAGTGCAGTGGTATGATTATAGCTCACTGTAACCTCAAACTCTTGGACTCAAGCAATCCTTCTGCCTTAGCCTCCCAAGTAGCCAGGGCTACAGGTGTGCACGAACACGCCTGGCTAATTTTTTTAAAGTTTTTAAGCAATGATGGTCTAATTAAGTGGCCCAGGTTGGTCTTGAACTCCTGGCTTAAGGCAATCCTCCCGCCTGGGCCTCTCAAAGCCCTGGGGTAACAGGTGTGAGCCACTGCACCCAGCCAAATCACTTCTATTTTCCATTCAGTAACACATACCTGTAAATAAAGGGAAGAATTAGAGCCGTGGGACATCTTTTGCACCATCCCATCTTTTTGTAGGATGCATTCCTCCAAGTGAATCACATTTGGATGTTGGCTCTTGATACTGCTTAGTGCCCAGAACTCACGAAGGGCTAGTTCAACATTTTCAGGTGCGTGGCATCGAATTTTCTTCACTGCCACCCTTGCAGAGGTCTTTCTGATGACTGCTTCATACACAACACCGTAACTACCTCGGCCTACCTCCCGTATTAGATCGTACTTTGGCTGGCTACTCACCATCTTCAAGGTCGAGGTTTCTGGAAAAACCAACAAAGTGCTCTGTTGAAATTAGGTATACCTACGGCTTGTATTTCTTCTTATGTATGATTTAGTGGTCATCTATCTCACTATGTGCAGTGCTTGAAGGTACCTGCTATACTTTGGGCAAATCTAATTTTAATAATAATAACAAAGCTAATAGTTACATAGTACTCACCATGTATCAGGAACTGTTTTAAGCATTTTAGAATATTAAATTCACTTACTCCTCATAATAATCTTACAAGGTAGATACTATTATAGTCATTTTATAAATGAGGAAATTATAGCACACAGGTTAAGTGAAATGCCCAAGATCAAAACAAATATCTAGTAACTGGTGGACCTGGGACTCGAAACCAGGCCATCTGCCTCAGACATCCACAATTTCAAGCACTACACTATACTGCCTCTTATATGAACGGCTGAAAACATCACTGTTAAAAATAGACCCCCCAAAATCAATATTCTTATGTATTGATCATGAAAAAACAAACAAGGAAGCAAAACTTCATCTTCTCCTTAAGGCAGACAGATACACATACAGATCATAAAACAGCAAAAAAACAAAACCCATTCACCGAAATGCAAACACCTGGCTTACGCTTAAGGACAGAAAGTGAATCAGATCACTTACAGAACTGAAAATGTTTAGTTGTTTTTATTATTTAAAAATAAACGGCCAAACTACATATGTTTATATTTTGTTTCTTATGTTATCTCCTTGTGTCTTGCAAAACAAAGGACAATGTCGCTTGTGGAGACGAAATATTCCTTTAAAAGCCAAGTAAGCTACTTAGAATACAGCTACCTTTTTGGTGTTTGACAGTGGGTTAGCTCTAGGTCATTTTTGGCCAAGAAACACCATTCTTTATATCCAGGGGCTCTCTGACATTGTTCTTTGGACTTCAACTCGATAAATCATTTAAAGGCAGAAGAGGCCCCACACAGAAATGCTAATGTGTTAGATGGAGAAAGCCTAACGTGTGCCTCATCATTCCCCAAAGAACTTCTAGATTCTAACGAGCTTCAGGAACAAATTCTCATTTGCAGATTGCCACCACGGGCAAGAAGAGTATAACCTGAGATTGTTCAATACTTATATTGCACGGCTGGAGAATCAAAAGGCTGCTGACTACAGCCTGGGAAGACGGAAGCAGCTATTCGAGTTCCACAGGACAGATTTAATACAGCAAATGACCACTTCTGAGGCTGCTTTCAGGCCCACTTCCTCGAAATGGCCAGCCGCCCTCCAAATTCCTACTATTTCCTAGCATGATTTCCTGTCCCAGAATCTTCTGCTCCGACTGCACAGCGATCTTTCCTGCTCTGCGTGGCTGGCCAATGACTGTCCCTCTCAAGGTGGCTCGTTCCCCTGACATGAATAAGGAGGGGGTTGCTTCTGGAGCCCTCGGAGTTCCGGCGCAAAGATGCCCCCAGTGCGCACCCAAGAGACCCACGACGGCACAGGCCCGCATGCCCCCCGCGCCGACCCCCGCGCTCCGCGGAGGCCGGCCAGGCATACACCTGCTGGCGCCTGGGCAGGGCCAGTCCAGGCCAGAGGTGTTGCCGGACGCGGCGGCTCAGGCCGCGCTCATTGGCTCAGTAGCGGGCCCTCCCCCTCCTCGGCTGCAACCAGACGGAGCCCAGAGGGGATCCTTCCGAGGCCCTTCACCCCAAGGGGTCGGTCCCGCGGCTGCCTCAACTCCTCGGGGCCGGCGGCCGAGGGCCTGAGCCTGCGGGGCGGTGGCCCTGGTGTGAGAGACAGGCCGCAGCCCGGGCCAGGGGCCTGAGGCGCGCGGGGCCTTCCTCGGGATGACTCCACTGACAGGTTGTGACAGGCCTCCCGGGGAGGGGGGCACGTGCAGGGACGTCGGCTCTGGAGCAGGGCCTCTCCGCTGCGCCGCAGGGCCAGATGTACCTCAGGGTAGCCGCCGCCGCTGCTCCCTCTCCCGGGCTCTGCAGGCCGCCATTATCGGGCAGCTCGCGCCTCCGCCGCCGCGGCTTCCAGTCAGACGCCGGCGCGCGCCCCCGTGGTGCGCGCGGACACACCCCCTTACGCCGGGCGGCCCCGCCCCCCTCCGGCTTGCCGTAGCGCGTGCCGGGACGCACCGCGCCACCTTTGAGGCGCGCGCCCGGCGTCCCGCTCGCCGCCTCCCTTCTCCAGTGGCATTGCAAAGTCTGGAGTCTCGGGAGGTGTGCGCGC